GCAGCACCAGCAGCAGACTGAATGGGCCAACAGAAGGATGCAATGGGTCGCTGAAGATAGATTATTTAGTATAGGAAGGAAATTGAGCCTTTTTCCCATAAAGTTACCACCTAAATAAAGTAGGTTTGCAGGTTTAGATTTCCTTGAGACAGCTTTCTACTGTTCAAAGCAATCGTTTTCTCTTTTGGGTTGTGTGCCAGATGAAATGTGTTTTTTCCACATGCTTCCCCTGTAAACTCATGAAAGCCTGTATTTTTGTTGTCTTAGTGCTTATATTGTCTCACACTTTTGACAATGGTATAAATATTTTAAATACGCTCCTTTTGTTCCTGCATTAGCCAATTCTAGCTTTAGAGGTCATAGTGGATATTGCTCAGTTCTGTTTGATGGTCAGAGCGTAGGACATGGATAGGGGAACTTCAGATTTGCATATAAGATCCAGTACTACTCCATGTGTAATTTTAGGCAAGCTGCTTTACTTCTCTATCTCAGACTTCCTATCGGACTGCTGCAGAGAAGGGAAAAAACATTTAGTGTACCTCAGAGGGCTGCTGGAATGCATGGAGAATCATTACCTGATATGTTTGGAAAGCGGAGATATTTCAAGTGAAAAGGAAGTTTTCGAGAAGGTAGAAAGAGAAAAGAGGCTGGCTTGATACCCGAGTGCTGTTCTCCAGCGAGGGACTTTGACAGATCTGTAATTTACTTGGGGGAGCGGGTTAAACCTTTTAACCACTATGACATAAGGACTGCTGCTTCAGTTAAGGTACTATATACCCTAAAGCGAGTTTACTCTTTCGGCTACTAGACAATGACTTTTGAAAAAAAAAAAATATATAGTTTTCAAAAGAGAGATATTTCATCAGTCAGCAAAGTACCTTTGCAATGACCAAGAAATCAACAGCATCAAGCCCAGAGCGCTTACGGAGAGACCAGTGCCCTCAGAGCTGTAGTCTTGTCCTTAACAGGGTGGCTCAGGCTGTATCCCTAGAGCAGACTGTATGCTGCTTAACAGAGCTGAGGGTCTGCCCGCAGACACAACTTACGTGCCAACAGTCAATCTCCAGAGGAAGGAAAACTCTTTATTTGTTTTGGTAGACTACAAGGGGAAAACCATCAACTTTTTTGCAACAGAAACAGTCCCTAGATGCTTAAAACCATTACTCCTATATAGACAGACATACACTGATTACTTCTAAGTATAGGCACATTACCCAAAGTCAAAGCAGTTTTGATATTTTTAGCATAAGTATAAATTGAAGGTAGGGGTCAGCTCTTCTCGATGAAGTACAGCACTTCATGCAGTTTCCTTGAAGGCCTTGGCATTACAACAGCTGAAGGTCTGAACGTGGTATTTGTGCTGTTAACTGACATCTGATTCTGTTTTGTTAAATTAGAGATCAACTGTAAAACAGAATGGGATCAGCAACTTCTCAAAAAGGCAGGTTTTAAAGCCTAACGTCTAAAACTTCTTGCTAGGCAAAGCCTTAATTATAATAGTAAGCTTTTTCTGATTTACCTTCTTCACGCAAATGATTAAAAGAGCCATTACACAGATGTGTGTTACATGGCAGGTGACATTCTTTACAAGGATAGCATTTTTGTCACGGAATAACTGAAGTTAACTTGGGCTCATACAATTAATCTGATCAAGGGAAACCTAAATGAAAACTGGAGAGATACGGGAAGAAGCGGGAGAGTTGAAGAAAGATTTCGTGTTAATAATGTGGTGTGTTGAGTATCTACATAAGATTATTACTTGAACAATTATACATCTGAAAGTGTCTTCCTTAAGATCCCATCTTAAGGGTAGCTATCAGAATTAAGCAAAAAATAGAAAGTTAATTGTAATTACACTGCAGTTGCAGTTGCTACTTGTTAGGTGTACCTGAGGTAGCTTTAAGTGAAAGAGTTTTGGGTACCGCTGGTCGAGCCACCCCCATACGCCACTTGCAGGGCTCCTGCCTGTCGCTGTCAGCGGAGCGAGCGGTACCCGACTAAGTTTCCACTTGGAAACTGCCACTGCAGTGGCGTGGGAGTAACGGGGACAGTTCTGGGTCTCCTGGAAAGAGTTCTGAAACCACTTCTGGCTCATTTGTGTTTGTGAAATTCACGTAGAAGCAAGTTCAGCACTCAAAGGCTAATCTTGCACACACACAAGTTAAAGAGCATAGTCAAAACACTAGAACTCTCATGAGAGAACTCATTTCTGAGAAAAGGGAGATCGGGACAGCGTGGGCAGGATGAGGGATTTTCAGATGTGTACTTGCAGCTAGCAGAGCAGCAATCCAAGGGTGAAGCCTACCTTTTGCGTGGAGAACCAGAACGTGAGTGCAAAGACTGTCCGTTCCTTCTTTTAGACTGTAGAATTTTCTGGAAGTACCTGCCTGAAGGAGAGAATTGATTGTTATTGATTTTAAATGGGACTTTGATCACATCACACCTGACAGGTTTTCCTCTCAAACTTGGACTGGCTTCCTGTACAGTGACGAGGGCGAATGGCAGCTGGAGGAGTAAAGGAGGCTCTGTCCTGTGACTGAGAAACAATTACTCGATAAGTAGGTACTTAAAATGCTTTTCTTTGAAAACCACCACTTCAACTGGCAGAAGCTCTCCCCCTGCCCCATCTTGTCCTGGGCAAAGCCTCTTCTAAGCTGCTCTCAGAACCAGGCATGTAATCACGCAGCACAGCAGTCACTGCACCAGGAAGGTCGGAAAACAAGCAAGTACTAACAGGCTGATGCTTCTGAGTTAGGGATCCTGTCTTGTGATTCGTTTAACAGAGCTAACAGGACGGCATACAGTCCAACCCTTTGCAGGAAAAAACCTTTAAAAAAAAAAAAAAAGAGCCCGAGATCTAGGGCTACTTAATTCCTGAGTGCTTTTTTTTTTTAATTGTTGTTTAATTTTGGGTTTGTTTTAATAGAAGCATGGTACTGGCCCTTGAAAAGGGAACAGCAGCTGGTTACCATTGTTAACACCTTAATACTTCCCATCGTGACTTACGTTGCTTTATCATTGCCTATAATATCTTTTAAGCATGCAAGTGTGTGTGTGTATACGTATCCTCCCTGGATCAGTTTAAAGTGAGCTAAATCAGTTGGGGTTTTTTTAATGGAACATTCTGACATTGTACAAAGTTTTAGGGTTTTTTTCCAGTAGCCTTTCTTTTTGCTCTGTATACAGAAGTAGAGAACTTTCTAAAATAAAGTGTGAATATTTTTATTACTCCTTTGTACAGTATTCTAAGAGAAACTAATAAAGTAAGTATTCATGTACAAACTTGCCTTTGATTCCTTGAATTTTTACATGGAGCGGTTCTGCTTTCAAACAAGCATGGCAAAGGAACACTGGATGGCAATTCCAAGCCCACCAAGCGACGGATTGCAGTCAGGCAAAGAGCTCGCAGCCCACTGCACGGATCCCTTCGCAGGGTACCGCGCCGGCGAGGCACACAAACCCTCTGCTGCGAACAACGACCCATAAAGCATGGAAACGTGTGTGCATCGCTGGTCAAGACAGGTTAATAAAAGTGCCTCCAGTAACATAATATTGTCCCCTTGCCTGCACCACGCCTAATTAGTTAGCTCGCTCTCAAGTTTACCAAAATCCTCCTAAACCAGAACACACTATTCCTCATCCTAACAGGTGAGGAGTAGACATGAAAACAAGAACCACGCTGGAAATCAAGCAAATCTTGCAGGAACGATACATCTATAGACCAAATTTAAAAGTTATCCATGGCCACTAGAACAGATCAGGACAGGTTAACTCAGATCAACAACAGAAACTTTTTGGAGGAAGAATTACACAGGAACAGGCTTTTTACGCCCTACTTTAGCGGATACTTCCGGACCTCTGAACGGAAGGGCGGGGAGAGAGCATTTCGCCAGCCCTGCTGTTTGGAGAGGCCATATCAGAAGCACATCGCCCACCGACGGCAGACGAGAAGCCATTCACTCCACAAACAGGCAAGTACATTTTTAAGAGCTTTCGGTACACAGGGGGGGTGCAGCACGCTTCTGTTCAGTGTTCTTGTTGAGTTTTTCTCTCTTTTGGAAGTCTCCCAAGGGAACGAGTCCCGTAGGTACCACCAGAACGATCCCACACGGAGCACACAGGACTATTTCCCCTCCCCAGCTCCATCGCATACAGCACACCATCCTTTGCGATGTGACGGTCTTCCTGGAAGCATCAGACTCAGTCTCTTTTTTCAGACCCCTGCGCGACATTAGGGAGAGGGAAGATACCCCCCCCCATCCACTCATCTGAACTGTAAACGGGGATCAGCGTCTCTTCTCTAACAGGACTTGATAAAAGTAGGGTGCAGAAGAGGGGAAAGACCTGCACGCTTTTCTTCTTCTCAATAAGTACACAAAGTTTTTTCATTTCTAGATCAAAGTTCTTCTTCAGCGCCTCTCCCATACGCCAGCTGAAGCAAGCAGCAAAACTGGAACTTTGCTGGAAAACAAAGCTGAAGCAGGAAGCCAACCGTGGTTTTGTTTCTGCCTCTCAAACAGCCAGCTCTCCTCTGTGGGGGATACAGGCAGAGCACCAGGGCATACCCAGGCAGCTGGGTGTTTTGGGGGAGTTTTGCCATAGAACAAGCTCTCCTACTTCCTCCTTCAACCCACTGTTCACCTCTCGGCCCTTTCACTTCCTTACAGTAAGACTTTGACAAAATCATTTTTCTAATGCTCTGTTTTGAGTTCACCAGCAAAAGGGGAGAAGTCTAAACAAGCCTCATTACCAAGCCACAGCTCCTGCGCCGACCTCTCCAAATGCTTCCCTGCTTCACAATCCTGTGAAAGCCATGTCCTTGTACTAATGTGGGCTTTTGGGGGTTGTTATCGATTTTGAAAAGGTCTTAATAATTACAGTAACATTTTGTTACAACCTTCTGCTTCTATTTCAAGTAATTTTGCTTCACTTGTCTTGCCTCTTTCCTAAGGCACAAGTACACTTTGCTTCGCTTCAAGAAGTCATCCAGCTGCAGCAGAATGTTTAAAAAAGTCACCCAATCCATAGCAAATCAAATGGATCCAACAGGAGACCTGGTCCCAGTTCACAGCATCTTAGACCATGAGCATTTCAGACCCTTCTGTCTCGTGAAAAGAAAAAGAAAAACCCTGTTCCACCCATCTCCCTACTACAAACGGACATGGTACAGACTCCACGACATGCTGCTGCCTGGAAAAGACACCAAAAGCACAGGTAAAGCCCACGTTTATCAATCTTAAAGTTCCCAATTCCCACAGACAAAACATCTGGATCATTTGTGGCTGAACTCCACCATGTTCCGCCCTTCTTGCGCGCGCAATCGTTATGTCACTGAGTCTGTGGAATCATGCTTAAGCTAATGCATTGAATTATTTCAGAGTCCCTCTTTCCCAACGGAGGTGGTCAAGAGTCAAGGCAATTTAGAGTCACAGTAAGCACCAGCGACAGAGTTGACGGGAATCTAAGCCTCTGTGTTGAGTCTGTAAGCGCCGAGGTGAGAGGAGCTGCCTCCTTGTCCAAAGGGTGGTCCATCAAGCTGGAGAAGAACCACATACCCCTACCAGAACTTGAGGCACTGAAATCGGAAAGGTAAGGCAGACACGAAGGGAGAATGGGCCCTCCGCGTCCTCCTCTACCCCACACCAGGTCACACAATGGTTTTTCAACAGCCAAAAACCTAGAGGAAGACCCGAGAGCATGTATTCTCCCTAAAAAGAGAAAGAGAGGCGATAAAGATTTGCCTAGAAAGAGAGGTGATAAAGATTCCTTACACAGCTTTGTAATGCTTGCGGATTTCTGTAGTACTTTTCCTGCAGTACTTTTGTCATAACTCGCAGAAAAACAGACACTTTTAGCCAGGATATTGCCTCCTTTTTCTCTTTCAGAAAAATAAATGTGAATCACGCCTTCATTCAACAACTAAAGAAAGCACGACACAATTTATACGTGGTTCATGAAACAGTAGAAGCCTCGGAGGAGGCCCACTACGAGGAATCCACCACGGCAGAGGGGGGCTTCGCGGCCCAGTTTCACGCCAAGCTTGGTGCAAAGGTTTGATTTCTCTTCAGCCTCAGGAGTCAGCCCCTCCCCAACATCTGCACGCCATCAGGCCTAATAACAGATTATTCTTCATTGACCAGGGCGCCAGAGAGAACACGCAAAGCATAACTATACCCAAGGGCTGCACCCTGGCCTTCAGGCCAATCAAGCTGGTCATTGAAGATGGATCATGGGGTAAGTAACTTTCAGAAACTACCAACTCCTCCATCCAGGAAACAACGCAGAAGAAGAAAAACGTTTTCCAAAGTACCCTTCAGCCTCGCAGCCATCCTTAGCTCATTTGCAAGGACATGAACACGTGCAATATGAGGGACAGAAATCACCTGGGAAAAGGCCGTACCCCAGTTGAAAGAGCTTCTTGGGAAAGAGATGCAGTTTTGGATGGGGTGGTAAGGAAATTCAAGAGGGATACTGGAAGTCTCGGCCCTAAATTTCAGGAACTGCAGAGCTCCTGTTGAAAAACGGCACAGGGGGCAGAGGTTTGGTTTTACTTTTCTTTTCCTACTCGGAAGAAAAGAGCCAGGGAGAAAACAGGGTGGCTGACCCTTCAGTGGGGAGACTGGTGTCAAAGACGCTTATGCTGGAGAGGTAGAGAAAGAGAGGACCGAGATCCACAAAACCTGCTGCAGGATTTTAGAGACCACGTGTGCCTTGCTTCCCACCCCTGCATGGATCTGGTTGAGTACCAGACGTTGTTTTAATTCACTTGTATTTTGACGCACGTGTTGGCCAATACAGACCCTAACATAGGGCACGCGTCAGTAGGGAACGAGGGCTAGAAGTAACGAGTTTTAAATGAACGGGAAGAAGAGAGATGTGCTGGAGAAGAGTGCAAACACCAGTCTGACCTACACCTAGCACGTGAGATTTCAGAGACCTGGGATACCAGTATCTTCAGACTTAAAAACAACAACTCTGGTAAAAAAAGACCTATCCAGCTGGAAGTCTTCTTCTAAATCAGCAATGCCCTTTTTATCCTCTGGCAGATCTTGAGTATTTCCCAGAAGACACTAGATCACTCCTCATATCTGATGGTAAGCAATGTATTTTACTACTTTGACTTGCACTACTTTTGCCCCCCTTGGGTAAGATGGAATCTCTCAGGATAAACACAAACCACCAAAAGCAACGCGTTTACTGTACATTACTGCCTGTTACCTGAGACATGACATCCGTCCAACTCAAAACTGCATATCGCTTTCGAAAATATTCATAGAAATGTTTCAAATTCTAAATTTAGGGGTGCCAAGGAACTTACTGTGGGATTGTCCAGTGTACAAGTGACATATTTGGACTCTTTCTGGTTTTCAGGTGTCTCAGAAGGAAAATTAGGAGAACTGAAGAGAGAAGTTAAAGAGAATTGTGAAATTCTCTTCAAGTTGTCTTCTGATCTGTTCATCATATTTTTAAACGCCATCAAAGCTGTGATGAGAGACAGGAACCTCTTTCAAGAGCTGACCGAGAAAGTAAGCAAAGTTCTTATTGCCAGGTGTTATAAATACAGACATCCATGATCACACCTCTTGCCCCAGAATTCCTCTCTCTTGTGCCACAACTATCAATCCAAAAGCCCTTCACTCAGCACAGCTGTCTGGCCTTCATCGCCATACAGAGAAAGGAGGTGCTCAGGACAGAGTCAACTGCTGAAATATGTCCTGAATATAGCCAGCAGATTGACCTGAAGGTATCAATCCATTTAAACGTCATATTCTGTCTTTAACTGGAGCCACTGTGAATGCTAAAGCCTCAATTACAGCCTCATAAATAGCTTAGGGAGGGGAGACACACATTACATGACTGTTCCTGTGCTTCTGTAGTTAGACTGCAAGGGACCACCAGCAGCCTCTTCTCTTAAATCCTGACGTTTCTTTTTCTTATTCCTTTAGATGGAAGCAGTTCTTGATGAACCTGATAGTTGTGAGCTGAAAACAGAAAGCCCAGACTTAAGAGACCTGTTGAGCAGCTTACGGCATTCTCCAAGACATCTTCTCCTTAAGCTGGCAGCAGCAATCACCTACACTCTTGACGCGTTAGATGGTAAGGCTTTCTGGCTATTTTAATAGAGAAATCCAGTAGCACCAGAATATATCAAGAGCATTCCTACCGACAAGACTAGCAGCATATAGAAAACTTATAGAGCGTGAGAGACTTGCAGAGGTTTTACATAAAATAATTTCTTAGATTGTGGGAATGAAGGTGGTTTATGCTGAGAGCGCAGACCTGTCCAGAGCAGCTGCTGTTAGCAACAGTTGGAGAGTCGCAGAGCAGCGACTGCCAGGAGCATGACACTGAATTACCACTCGGTCCAGAACAGCGTGCACAAGGGGATCCTTGAAAAGAGGGCTTGAAGTCAGAATTAAAACGTGGGTAAAGATGGCAAGATCACCTTGCAGAAAGAGCAATGCAAATTCCAGGGTAATTTTCCCAAGGCTGCCACAAAACATGGTTTGAACCTCCCCTCAACCCCCTTGTCTCTGCACTCGATGTTACAGTCATCCGCACACAGTAACGGCTGTATTCATCTCACAGGGAGGCTGCACTAATAATTTAGTTTAAAACAGCTGAAGAACTTTTGACCAAAGAGGCATTCCCTGCAAGACAGTTGCTGGTCACCCTTCACATCTCACCAGTTGTCTCTGAAACATGGGTGGTGGGGTTTTGGTACAAACCTGGTTTAATTCTGCAGAGCTAACGGAGGATCAGCTGCTGCTATTGCTGGAGTCTTTGGAAGAGAAGATTGTGTCCCAACAGCTTAAGCTGGTGAGAGAACACGCATCACATTTAGCTGAAAACGAAGGGGTGGGGGGGTTATTTTGAGTAAAGCAGCATTTAGATAATGATATAGGTAGCAGTATCATAACTTAAGGTAACGCTGGGAAGAAGGGAAGGAGTAATTGCTTCAAACTTGGCAGGGATCAAAATACTCACTTCGAGAGAAGTCACCCCAAGACGTGAAGAACCGAGATTTCTAACAACTGTTTTGCTGATAGCTGACTACATTTTTCTTGAAACAGTAGTCAGAATTTTCTGGCTTCTTTGGCTCCAGATTTAAAAAAAAAAACAAACAAAAAAACAAACCACAAGACACACTATAATTTTAATTTCTTGGACATAACTAATTCACAAGAAACCGGCAACTGAATACATGAGCATAATAGTCTTTCAGGGTGAAAAGTCCCATATATAAATGTGGATTATTTAGTGCGCCTGTAAGACAGTAAAGCACTTCACAAGTCAAAGACATCATTTACTTACTTAACAGTAAGTAAATACTCCACAGATGGGAGTATTAAGATACTGATTTTGCTTTTTTTGTTCTTGCTGCAAAGGTTGAGAGCCTCTTGAAACCCTACACAGAAGACAGGGAGGGGCGTTTCAGCGTGAATACCAACTTGCTCTCCTTCTCACGAGAGAAGGAACAAAAATTAACCGTTGCAATGGTTGAGATGAGTGGAGTGAAGCTCCAGGAAGACGGATCTGCTGTCTGTACGGAAGAAGACTTCTCGGCCATAGCAGCCCTGTACGTGTCTCTGTACATCCTCAGTCTTCTGAGTAACTCGGATTAGGCTACGCGCGTCCTCCCGTTAGGGACGGTTTAAAAGGAATCACTTGACAACGTATTTGAAAGCCTCTTACTGCGAGCTAGTTTCTATCTCTAAACTTTACCCTGACATAGGTAAGGCATTCCTTATTAACGCTCAGTGCTGATTTGAAACGAGCAGGAAAAGAAGACTTAAGGCAAGAAAATTCCTTACGGAAGCCAGAAACCAGATATAAAAATTGATTTTTCTTCCCCCCCCCATGAATGTAGAGTGCCAACTGAAAAATCCACTAGCCCAAATAATCACAAGCCTGTCAGTTGCACTTTATGTGATCCTGGTTTTCTTAAAAAACGCTAACACACAGCTGCTTACACAATCAATGATAAGGCACAAAGGAATAAATCAGCTATAATTCATTTACCCTGGTCACACCTGTGATTCATGTGTGACTCAATCAGCTGCTAAATATTAGAAAGCTATATAATCTCAGAGCACTTTAACGATGGATACCTGGTAAAACAGCACCTCCCTCATGCAACTACACACTCCACCACTACCAGCAGCAAGGAAAAAATTACAGTATTTTAGAACAACATTACAAATGCTTCAATGATTGCTTTATAAATAAAGAGAATAATTTCTTACTGAATAACCAGATGTTCTTAAAGGCAATTTTTTAATCTGCCGGTATTTTCAGTCACCCAGCGGTGCTGCCTGCCTGGAGGCCCAGCTCCCCTCAGGCTCCCGGGGGAAGGGGGTGCCCTCAGCAAGGGGCAGTGCTGCTTACCCGGGCGGTCCCTGATGGCTCTGGGGGCACCCCCAGCTGCAAGGGGAGCCCAGCCCCGGCCCCGAGCCCCTCAAAGGCGTCGGAGGCGGGGGGACGGCGGGCCGCTGCCCGGGGTAGCGCCGGGGTCTCGCCCCTCGCCTCAGCGCGGCGGGCGACGAGCGTCCACGCATGCGCCGCGAAACAGGCGGGAACGGCCGAGCGGCGGGGGGGGGGACAGCCGCGGCTCCCGGGCAGCGCCCCGCGCCAGGCG